TTTTTTTTTCAGACGCAATGAAGAGACTCGGAAAACTGCAAATCGACATTCGGACAATACACAGCGCCATTTACCATCAACAGGCAACCTTAGACTATCTGTCACAAATTCTGGATAACCTGCGCGAAAAAATCGAAGAGGGAAATAGAAATGCGCAAATCAGTGCCCAGGAGCTGCAAGGAGCAATATCCAATCTGACGACCACGGTCGAAAAAGCGCTGGAAAATCTAAGAAATGGAGAACAAGCAACAAACATCGATGCCATCAACGAAGAGGGGGAGGGCGCCGGCGCAAAGGTCGAGGAAGAAGCCCCGATAGAGGACAATAACATGGTAGAAAAGCAGGCAAACGAAGAAGAGAGAAATGATGCCGCCGCCGAGCCCAAAGAAGAAGCCGTGTCAGCCAAAGAAGAGAAAAAAGAAGAACGTGCGCAGCTGGGCCATGAAGCCAGAACCATTCAAAGTAATCAGGATTATATCGAAGTATTGGAAATTGAAATGGAAGATGCGTCCCTATCTGATGAAGTGGATGAAGCCAAGGAACGGCAAGAAGTCGAAATTATGGAAGAGCCGGTCAGAGCGGAACCAGAGAGGGAAGAGCTTTTGATACCAGAAGAAGCTCAGCTGCACGACGAAGAGCTCTTGGTTCCTGCTCTGGAACTTGAGCTGGGTCAAAACCGGCAAGCTATCGCGGATTTGAATTTGATGATCGAAGAACTGGAGAATCAGAAGACCTGCTGGCCTCGCAGATATCATGGGAAGATCCAAAAGAGCTGTGAGAGAAATATGTCCTGCGCATTCTGCAATGAAATTGGGGACCACTACTCAGATTCTTGTACGGAAATCCCCACCGGGCGCGAAAGACGAGAAGTCCTAAACATGAAAAGAAGATGCGCAACCTGCTTGGAGTATTGCTCGGGAGGAGACTTATGCAAGAAGGCTTATGACAGGTGTTCCCACTGTCATGAAACCGGGCATCACTCGGCCCTGTGCGAGCTGCCAGACACGAGCCAGGACATTTTCCAACGACTGGAACAAGCAAAGGAGTCCAGGGAACGACACTTTCAGCGAATTGACCAAATTCAAATGGAACTTCAGGACCTCCGCCAAGTCCCACTCCCCTAGGCCGGGGAGTATCGTCGCGATCGGACTACGGTAGCGAAGAAGCCGCGCC